TATTTTTTTTTTAAATTCACTCCATTAGCTTTAAGGACCTTCATGTGTATACGTGTGAACATGCCAGGCTATTGTACTGCATTTAACCACACTCAGGTCCTGAAGAAGAGAAAAAAAATTGCTCTTGACAGCAAAAATGCTAACATCGAATGTTTTCAGCAATCCACATAATTAACAAAACCTTCTTCAAGCTACTAAATTACTCCCTCCTGTCTAATCCATCCTATTCACATTAGGACATACCTAAAATAGAACTTCCATTAAAGGCTGCATTTTGAAGTTAATGTAGCATACACTAGGAAATATTTTTTTTTTAAATCACTCAGGAAAAAAACTGTAAATTCAACAACCAAAAAAAAAAAAAACCCTTAAAATATCCCACTTGAATAAATGTGGTTTACTCTGCTTGTCAAATATTTACTTTTCTTGAGGTGACCATTCACAACAAACAGTCCTTCTCCAGCTCTGCCAGTGGGAGTGCTGGGTTTTTACATAATCTGGCGGCCGTTCAACTCATGTGCGTCACTGGCCAGCAGCCTGAGCAGAGATGATTGAAGAAGACTGGCTCAGGCAGACACTCCCTCCGCACACCCCCCAACCCAGCCCTTCATCACCATCCTGAGTGGATGGGATCCAGCCAGCCTGTGTGGCTCAGTGGTAGAGTGTGGGCCCAGGAACCGCGAGGTCACAGGTTCAATGCCCAGGCACAGGCCCGTGTTGCTCACTGGATCCCCAGTAGGAGGAGTGCAGGAGGCAGCAGATCGATGATGTTTCTCATGGATGTTTCTATCTCTGCCTACCTCTCTAAAAAATCAATAAAAAAAATATATATATATATATATTTATGTATGAGATTCAGCCCATCCTCACGAACTCAGTCAAGGGTTTGTGCACAGAAGTAGCTGTAAAAAAAGGCAGCGTATGGGGGAAATACAAATAAGCCAGCCTCTTTGAGGGGGAAATGCCTTATTAAGAATTTTTATTTAAAGATCACTGGGTTTTTGGAGGGTAGAGGACGCATCATTCATCTCAAACATCATGAAAAATGGTAAACCCCAAACAAGAAACTTTTTTAATTGAAGTCTTGTTTTTTCATCAGAAACACTTGGATCTTGTTCATGGTCAGGCACTGGCTCCTCCGCAGGGCCTGGGGGTTCGGATGAAGGAGTCTTTCATTCCCCTCTAACGGTCACTCCCAGCGGATAAGATAAGGAGCCCGGCCCGCGCCTGCAGAGCCTGGAGGTGAGGAGTGTCTCAAACTAAAGCCACTTTGCCCCGAAGTCACTCCTTCTTAACCCCCTAACTTATCACACTTACCCAACAGGTAAACGGAACCCCACGATGGTCGGTGATGCCGGAGGAAGGGGGGGAGGGCAGGTCGCCCGGCGCGGCCGGGAAGGGCCAGGAAAGGCGGCCTCGGTGGAGCCCTGCAGGCGCCTCCACTCCCGCTGGGTCTGCTCCCCACAAAGGTGGAGGGAGGGCGA